TTCTGAGAAAGGAAAAACTGTACAACTACTGAGAAAGGAAAAACTATACAACTACTGAGAAAGGAAAAACTGTACAACTACTGAGAAAGGAAAAATTGTACAACTACTGAGAAAGGAAAAACTGTACAACTACTGAGAAAGGAAAAACTGTACAACTACTGAGAAAGGAAAAACTGTACAACTACTGAGAAAGGAAAAACTGTACAACTACTGAGAAAGGAAAAACTGTACAACTGCTGAGGAAGAAAACTGTACAACTAATGATGAAGAAAAGTGTACAACTAATGATGAAGAAAATTGTACAACTAATGAGGAAGAAAATTGTACAACTGCTGAGGAAGAAAAGTGTATAACTGCTGAGGAAGAAAAGTGTACAACTAATGATGAAGAAAAGTGTACAACTAATGATGAAGAAAAGTGTACAACTGCTGAGGAAGAAAAGTGTACAACTAATGATAAAGAAAAGTGTACAACTAATGATAAAGAAAAGTGTACAACTAATGATGAAGAAAAGTGTACAACTAATGATGAAGAAAAGTGTACAACTAATGATAAAGAAAAGCGTAAACTAATGATAAAGAAAAGTGTACAACTAATGATGAAGAAAAGTGTACAACTAATGATAAAGAAAAGTGTAACAACTAATGATAAAGAAAAGTGTACAACTAATGAGAAAGAAAAGCGTACAGCTGCTGAGGAAGAAAACGAACTAATGAGAAATTAAACAATATAAATAAGAAAGAAAAACTGTGCAACTACTTGTAGAAAACATATAAGGTATAAAAGTGTTTATACCTGACACAGAAATTAGAAGTTTTATGTAGTGCCAAAGAATGTTAAACTTAACATTTAGTATATATTACTCCAGACTTCTTAACAAAAACAATATTTACATCATTGGAAAATAATACTTATATTCTTAAGTGTATACTGTAGAGATTTCAGTCTGGTGGTAGAGCAATGTAATGATGTAAAACCAGTTGTGTAGATTATGTAAACCATCCTGTCCTTGAAAAGGTTAAGCAGAGAGTCTTGTCTTTCACATAATTAGTATTTTAAACCATAGGTTCTGATAAATAATTTCAAATAATATACATTAATATTAAATTCATGCATATAAAATAAATTAAATAAAACAAAATAATACTTAAAAAATTATAACAGAAATGTGAGAAATTGACCATCTTTGTCTCACCTGACATAACACACCACTGACCTTTCTTCCTGGAGGTCCAGCAGGACCAGGAGGCCCAGGAGGTCCAGGTGGGCCCTCTATAAAACCGGCAGGGAAAGAATTTCCATCCAACGTGGTTGTCATTCCACGATCTCCCTTTTCTCCTTTTTCTCCCTGTGTTTTGTAATGTGAGATATTCTAGTGAGGTGTTACTTTTACCAAAGTTAAGTCTACAAACCTGCACACCTCATAAAAGCACCAACATCATCGGTATAATAATATCCTTTTCAAGTAATCTTTTATTTTTCCTTCCTAAATAACTAATACAAAAATATCTTTCAATTGAAGATAAACTACACATTTTTTGCTACTGAGGACAAAGCTAATGAAAAAAATTATACTAAATTAGGAAATTTAAATAATGGAGTGAGTAACCTGGAGTATAAATTTAAATAATGGAGTGAGTAGCCTGAAGTATAAATTTAAATAATGGAGTGAGTAACCTGATGTATAAATTTAAATAATGGAGTGAGTAACCTGGAGTATAAATTTAAATAATGGAGTGAGTAAACTGAAGTATAAATTTAAATAATGGAGTGAGTAACCTGAAGTATAAATTTAAATAATGGAGTGAGTAACCTGAAGTATAAATTTAAATAATGGAGTGAGTAACCTGAAGTATAAATTTAAATAATGGAGTGAGTAACCTGAAGT